TTTCCAGCCCTCGAATCATTTTTGTGCCCCAAACATCCTCTAGGTCCTGCCACTGGCTGGTGTGGGTGCAACTGTCCTGGCTTGTACTGTGCAGCATTTGGTCCAAGCCTCCTCCTTGGGATGCTGGCATCTTCTTCTTTGGAACCAGCACTCCTGCGGGGCTGCAGCAGCCACGGGAGAAAGAGCGAGGACCGTGTATGCACTGATGCTTTCTGCTCGCACGGGCACTGTGGCTATCGAGCTGGTCAGCAAGTTGCTCTGCATTGCTTGTAGGAGTCGCCGTGGTCACAGGAGACGGGGAGCTGGCAGGAGCAGCAGCCTGTGTGTCTGGCTGTTTGGGTTTTTTTTTGTTGTTGTTGTTGTTTTTACTGCTTTAAAATCTGAAGATGGGTTTCAGTTAGGCAGCTGCTCTCAGTCAGTGTGTTGTTCAAAGTAATTGACTTTCCATTAACTTTGGATTTTGGAGTAGTGTCTAAATATTGTTGTCAGCTTCATGCTGATTCCTCTCCACTGAAGCTAAAGTCATTTCACTTACGACCTCAAGCTGGACTTGTGCTTCGCTCCCATGGGAACTAAAAATAATAATTATTTAAAGAATAGGTTCTTAATCACTTCCTTCTTTTGATGCACTAGTTTTGTTTAGCATTTTGTAAGAATGTAATAGAAAAAGTTTTAAACTATTTGTGTTTTACTTCCAGTTTTAATTGGCGCTTTCAAGATGCAAGGAGTGTACAAGAATTAATTACAGTTCAGTTCCTTTTTTTTTTTTGTATAAAAGGATTTGTTCTTGTTATTCTGAGTGAAGATTATTAGAGTTTTGTTGCTTTGGCAAACTGTCCAGTCACACACAGCTATGAAGAGATGAACATTAAGTTGACAGATCTCTTAGTCGAAGGCATGTGGGCATTTTGTCAGTGTTGGTGACGCATCAGCATGTTAAGTCTCTTGTCTCCGAACTGTTAACGAACATATGAGAAACAGAGAGAGATGTACTTTTATCTGGGTTGAGAAAGAGTGATAAGACAAGGTATGCAATGCTTTTGTGGCAGAGCTGGCTGTGCAATGAACGCTGTGAAGGTGATTATATAGTTTGCAGACGTGGAAAATAATAAACACATAGAGGTCCACTGTCTGCCCTGACCCACAGCAGCTGGATAACAGTGATAAAATACTTAATTTGGAGAGCTTTCCATAAACTGAAAGAGTCCTGAAACTTAGAAGTGGGGTTTTGGGAGATGTATCTGGGAGATGGGTGCACTAGTGGGGGGTGGGGAAATATCGACAAGGGCTTTGCTAGACCTCGGTGAGCATACAAAGTGTGGTTGTACTGAGTGTCTTAGTGCCCGGCGAATAACACGTGTACATTAATAATTGTTTTTCCTGTTCCTTGCTAATAGTTTATGTGGTTTACTGTTACTTCCAGTCAGTGAAGTTGCTTGCTCCAGCAAGTCTGCTTGCCTTAGCGGGAGCCAATGTTCTATTTTGAGTACCAAATTTTGTTTGTACCTTATTTCTTCTTGAGCACCAGAGCCCCAAAGGCTGTGGCAGAGCCGTGCGGCGTAGCCTGGTGGGCTCAGCACACAGCATGCTGGGGCGGCTGGGCATGGGGAACACAGGACATGGGCTTGCCATTATCTGCTCTCTCGCTGCTGTGAGTTGTCCTTTTAGTGCAGTTTATATCTGCTCGCTAGACCCACTTCTCTGTGTATACAAAAACATCACAGTTTATTTTTAAAGAGGATGTGGAGAGAAAACCAAAAAACTTGCTGTCGGGCAACCACTCACCTCATGGTGATGTAACCTATCACTACAACTGGCATTGTACGGAGTAGTAAAATTGAAAGAGGCTGAGGTCTGGCATTTGCTCATCTGTTACTGTCGCGGTTGTGGGAACACCTGAGTGGTAACAGCACTTGTGCTAGCAAGGGAGAAAAGAAATGATGAGCCAAATACTTGAAGAAGGTGGTATCTTAATATCCTACTGTTGGCAGCCCTGGCATTCTGACTGATTTCGTGTAGGCTGTGAGGACTTTTTACTTGTTATAGTATTACAGGTTTGATTACAAGTTTTCTTTAAAAAGAGCTGTTATCAGGAGGTTTCCCAGACCAAGCAGGAAACTGGGAATCGGCAGTTCTCCAGCTTCGGGCCTGCCTCTGCAATGGCCTTGGGCCAGCCGAGGGAAGTGCCTGACGCTTCTGTAGGATGCACATCCTATCCTCACAGTGATTTTAGAGCTTAAGTGTAAAACAGGGACTTTAAAGGGAGAATAATTCAGCTCTTTGAGTTCTTTTGTGCTGAATGTGTGATGGCAGGTATAGAGTGCCGTAGCACAGGCCGGTTCTAGTACATCCCTCTCTGGTGCCACTGCAGTTCATGGTAGATGTCACTCCCGATGGACCAGGTGCTCGGTAATCTTTTCGAAGAGGGCAGAGTGTTTGGAGGTGACGTTGCTCCTGTCGCTCGTTTGTGTGCTCTTCACTACAGAAGACCTGGACCTCTTGGCCTGATGCTTGTAGTGTGCAAGATGAACCTGTTGCCTTTGCATGTGTTGTCATACTGATTGTGGTTTGTATTGCTGGTCCGTTTCTGCTGTAGCAAGGATGCTCAAACAGCATAAGGAGGCGTGAACTAGGAAGCTGCATGGCTAAAACCACAAAAAATGAGAGGGGGAACCTGGAATAGGCACAGTACCTATACTTTAATCTGTGGCCTGAAACTTGGCTGACTACATTATGAATATTCCCTACTTGCTTTGCTCTGTCAGTAGTATGGATGAATGATTCATAAAGGTGTGCTTTGAGGGCTGGGTTGTTTCTATTTATACAGCACTTACTGGCATCCCTGTTGCTTCTTTCTTTTTCCTTCCATCTCCCCCCACCTCCCAACATTGTTCATACGTAAGCCATTACTCTTTCCAGGCTTCCCTTTCCGTGGAGAAAAGTTACTGTTTCTAGCCTGTTGGTTCTCCTTTGTGCCCAGCTGTGTTTACCAATATTGTAGAATTGGTGGATAATGGTTTTTCTTGGGCCAGAACTGGCATTTTAGTATTTCTTTCCAGTGTTACCAGCCTGGAAAATTGAATGAAACTGTAGAAATAAACTTGTGTTCGCTTCATACAGCTCCTTGGCAAAATTCAATCCAAAACTATATGTGGCCAAAAGTGCAAAAACCTCTAGGGCAGGTTTTGAGCTTCACTTTGAGCAATCTTGGTTTTAGTTGATGGAAGCTCATAGACTGGCACTTGAGAATGTGGGATAGCGGCAAGGAGAAAAGTGTGGGTGAAATGAGTTTCAGTCTGCTCAAGATGCTTGTGAGACCAGTTGTGACAGTTGTTAGCAGGCAGGTGAGAACATGAAGGAGTCTTGAAAACTGGACTTGTCTCTGGCACCGCAATCAGTAAGCCCTGGACAGCATATGGCAATAGGTTGTCACTGGCCAAGCATGGGTTGTTGTACTTCTTTCTGTTGACAGTTTGGCAGTTTTAGGGGGATGTGTTGTCTCAAAAGGAAGTGGAAGATAAAAACTGAAAGCAGAATTATTTGTTTTCTGTTTTGTTTCAGCGGAAAGCTGGTTTCACCAAAATGGAAAAATTTTAAAGGCTTGAAACTTCAGTGGAGAGACAAAATCCGTCTCAATAACGCCATCTGGAGGGCATGGTACATGCAGTGTGAGTATCGCGCTCGGCTGTGTCGCTTGCTATGAAATATTTTCCGAGACGTGTATGTAAGAAGCAAGAGAATCGAGATTACTGTCTAATGAAAAGCTCAAAAACCTGCTGAAGGCCCAGATGTCTCTGACGCTGTCACTGCAGTGCTTTTGGATCGGTGCTTTCTTTGAGATGTCCACACAGAGGCTGTACCGAGCGGTCCAGGCACAGCCCAAGATCTTCCTGTTTCCTGTTATCTGGAAGAAAAGTGACAGAGCTCTCTGTGGAGCCTGCACATGTTGAGCACTTGCATTTTCATTCTTGTTTCAGACCTGGAGAAGCGCAAGAATCCAGTATGCCACTTTGTGACTCCCCTGGACGGCTCTGTTGATGTCGATGAACATCGTCGGCCAGAGGTGTGTAAAACCTGAGGAACAGACTAATGAGTGCTAGAGTTTATAACAAGATTTTCTAGTCTTCTAGATGTGAGAGTAGCATAGCAGGTTTTTGCTCTACTGTCTGTATTTAGAAGGAACCATTAATGTAAAGCGGACTGAACCCATTTTTGTAAGTTTATCACATGGAGACAATCAAGGTGCAACCGGAAGGACATGTATTTTCTGTGTAACTTATATCTGTGTTCTAGTTTAGTGACATAAGTCATAGAAAGAAATGCAGTTTGAATAGTCAGCATTTTGACAGCCACTGCTCTCTTCTGGCTGGAGATGCTGAAGTCAGTGGGAAGTCAGTGACGACTGTTTTCAGGATTGAATCTAAGTAACCCTGTGAGAGTTTTCTGTATTTTATATAAGTGATGAGGTGTGGTTTCAAGACAACAAGCCATTTCTTTTTCTCTGTCAAGGTAACTTCACAGAAAGAGCGAATATGAGTTTGCATACTTTCATTTTTGTGCATTTGTAAACATAAATGAAAACGATCATCTGCCTTCTGGCTCCTTGCAGAAAACCAGTGAGGCGCTTGGTGTGTCTTGATGTGACTCTGTTTATACTGCATAACTCTAGAGTAATTTATAACTCGGAGGAGTTCCAGATGAGTTTGTGGAACTGTCTCAGCTTTTTGAAAGAACAGTGTTGATGTTTGTGCTGAAAGATGACCCTCGGACACAAGAAAGTAGTGTTAAGGCTCTCATTAGTCTGCTGTCCCCAACTTATACACTGCTATCTGTGATACGTTAAAGACTCTCATTGTTCTGATCCTTTTGTTGCTATTAGTCTGTGGCCTGCAAGGTCACACTTTTCCCTGACCTGAACATCAGATTTTTATTGCTTTGTGTCGTTCTTAACAGCTTTTGTGTATGCGTGTGCATGTTCATGTCACCTTGTGAAATTCTCTTTGCCTGTTTTCTTCAGAACAGGGTATTGTATATTTCATACATTATATTTTAGTAAATTCATTTTAAAGAGGTTTTTGTTTTCCATTTCTTAACTATTGGTTATGGTTGAGCCGATGTGGGAGATGCTGGTAGTGCAGTCAAACATCATCTCTTGTTTGTTTATTGCAGGAAAGATTAAATTAGTACTGTCAGATTTGCTCTGTGGTAGCTGAGCTCTGGGACAGTATGGGCTGCTGATACATGAGCTCAAACAGAATTAGCATGCTTTCTTTTGCATTTTTTCTGCCTGAATATTAACTTGGCAATTTATGGTAAACATCCAGCCATTACGTGATTCCGTGTAATTGGTATGTGTTTATGTTCTCAGGCCATTGCAACAGAAGGGAAATACTGGAAACGAAGAATTGAAATAGTCATCAGGGAGTACCACAAGTGGAGAACGTACTTCAAGAAAAGGGTCTGTTGGCTTACACAGTGAAGTAGCTTACCTGAACTTGATCAGTATATTGTTGTTTTTTTGAGTTTTGATGTCACTTTTGCTAGCATGCAAGAATACTTAAAACAGATGGTCAGCTAGTACAGGCATGCTCATCTGATTAGTGCCACTTAACTAAAAATTATTATGCAGGGACTAATTGTGCATGATTGGGTCTTAAAAGTTTTGCAAAGTCAGGCCTTCTACTGGCATGTACAGGATGTATTCCGACTTTAACATCTGTTTTGTTCTCCTCTTGCAGTTACAGAAACATAGAGATGAAGATCTTTCAAGCTTGGTCAGGGTAGGTAATACCACTGAGAAGTGGCAGCATTTATGCTTGTAGAAGCTGTAGTAAGTAACAAGGCTGTAAAATGCAGTAGCTTGCATTGATTAAAATCTAAAGACAAACATCTTGCTTAATCCCTAATTAAGGTTGGACACCTTAATGTTTCTGTGCCTTAGAGAGCAATGTAAGATTTGTAGCTTAAATTGGATGGAGGAGAGGCTGAATGTAAAGTGCTGTGATAGAAGAAATGAGGATCTGTATTGGGTGCCCAGAAAAATCAATGTCTTTGAGGGCTGGCACATTGTTTCATCTTGTTACTGAGTTGTCGCTGGCACTACTGCCTTGCTTGTGCAACTGGATCTGTGAAGCTGTGCGTGCTACGTGTTGCAGATCTTCCTGCTGCCCACAACATGGGCAAACAATGTGCCAGGGTCCTAAAAAAGGTAAAATGCTTCAAGGAACAATGGTATCACCATTTAGTATGCCCCCTATACACCGTCAAACCTACTTCAGTCATATAAACTAATGATCAGAAGCACTGTTATGATTTTTTTTTTTTTTTTTTTTTTTCCCTCTTTCCATTTTGGAGTTAAGCATAAGTCTGTATCTGCTCCAGGTTCACAAAACTCTCAGCTGTTTTGGCCATGAGCTCCAATGTGCCACCATGGTATGTTGGTGTAGTTGCAGCTGTATGTTGGCTCAGCCACAAGAACCTGACAGTGTGTGCTTTTAGTCTGCAGCAAATGCAAAGCAATGCAATTTAACTTAGCCTGTAGTGAAGGACAGGTAAGCCAAGTCCCATTATTTTGTATTTTTCATGGGCTAAAAGTACCCACAGGTATATCAACATACCTCATGCAAAGTCAGATTACAGTTACATTAACTACATTTCAGAGATTCAGATACACTTCAAGACAGGAGGTGTTTGGTTTGAGTTTTTGCTGTGTATGTTATTTTAAAATTTCTAACCAAGGAATTGTTAAACTGCAAAAATACACATGTAGTCAATGAAACTAGAAAGTGTTGATGAAGTTGTTTTGTCTTGCATCCTTCTAATCAACATCTGTTTTTTGGGCAAAACCCGTTCTCAGAGTATTGTGGTATTCTACTGAAGTTTTCTGCTGTTTCTCAAATCAGTGAGCTGAAGCTGTTGGTGTATTAGAAGTACCACTGATCCGTTTCAGTCCATTTGAATGGCTCTGACAGGAGAGTTTCTTTCTCTAAAAATGTGAAAAATGGAGGCTGTTTTTATATATCTGCACCAGACTGCTTTAGGGTTGTCTAGGCAGCCTGACTTTTCTTCCTTTCCTTTGGCAGGACGATGATGTGGTTCTCTGGCAAAAAAGAAGGTATGGCAGAGAAACCCCTGTCCCTATGGAGGAAGGCAGCCTCTTGGATGCAGATATGCTTATGTCTGAGTTCACCGACACGTTGTTCTCCACACTGTCTTCACATCAGCTGGTTTCCTGGCCTAATTCCAGAGACATAGGTATTTGTTGGCTGTTAGCTATGTTGATTTTACAGTGGGAACCTCTAGGAGAAGTCTGGTTTGTTGCTTCGCTGCTTTTCTAGTCTTGCCTAAGAAATTTATCTTACTTTGCTGATACAGATAAAAATAGGTCAGAGAATGTAGCTGTCTAATGCTTTATAGGTTATGGAATCCCAGTTATTAATCTAAATTTCTGTCTTAGCTTCTTATGTGCTGCCTCTAGCATTGTTCTCTAATGTTGCTCTGAATAAATCTGTAATGAGCAGTATTTACCTTTATCAGCGGTGAAGGCATTGTTATTTATCTGAAGGCATGTATCTGTGTGTATTTTTAAGGGAGTGCCTATGCATTTTTTCTTTGGATGTGTCCCTTAAAACAAGTGTAAATCACATCTCCTGTAAAAACAATCCTAAGAGTTACACAGTTCTGTCGAGTGCTAACTTAAGACACTGACTGTCTAATGGGACAGCAGATGCCCCTTATGCATCGTCCTTGCTGCATCGACGTCTGAGCAACTCCAGAGCAACTGTGGTTTACATGAAGTGTGTTTGAAGCAAAAGGAAATGGAATGATGGTTTATTTTAAACAGCTTGAATTTCAGAACTGTGATGTAGTTCTGAAGAAAAGCAGATGCTCAGTTCATTTCAGCAGCAGTTTTTCTGTAAACACCCTGGTCAAGCCTGGATGTGGAGCGTGTGTTGGTGTTCTAGCCTAATGCTATGTTCCTACTGCTGTTACTGTGCGATTGATGTGAAGCTAATCTGATCTGTCTCTTGAATTTTCCAGGACACTTAGGAAATGCTGACATGATTCAACCAGGACTTATTCCTCTCCAGCCAAATTTTGATTTTATGGATACTTTTGAGCCTTTTCAGGGTAAGAATCAGATATATAGTCAATTCATTTTTAAAAAATTGCAGTGATTTATGAACTAGTTTTTAACAGAAGATTAAATGTTGCAGATGTCTGCTCTCCTCAGAAGGCAAGAGATTTGAGTGAAAGGTGAAGAACACTTCATATATGTTGTCATTGTTCATTATTTCAAGCAGATGCGTATGTGGGTAGACTTCCTTGTTACTGTGTCCCCACTCCTTTACTTACCTGGGTTTGAGAGTCACTTTAGGATTGTATATTCCAAGGTTTGAACCTGGTTGTTAATTTGCCTTTCAAAAGGGTAGCATTTAGACTTTAAGTCATTGAGTAATTAAAGATAGCACATCAGATATAGACAGGAGAACTCACAGAATCACTAAGGTATTCCCATTTAACACTTCTTAGTGATGAAGTGGTATAACGCTTTGTTTGCCTTGGAATATTTTGTGGTACTCTCAAGAATTACATATGACATTAAACCACTACTGACAACTTTGATGGTTACGTATCTTCAAGGAAGTCAAAGATCACATGTGTTTGCTGGGCCTGCATGCAGTCTGCATCAGATAACTGAATTTTGTGGGACTGCATTGAGAAATCAGCTCTTGGCTGCCTGTGTGTAGGTGAGCCTGAAACAGCAGACTGATTTTTGTATTGTCCTCAGCTTGCGTGAAAGTTGAAGACTGCTTTGAAGAGATCAGTTCCCCTGGAAAACGACAACTCATTGCTGAGTCACCAGCGGTTTCATGAAGCAAAAATCTCATGTTTCATTATTTACTAAATAATATTTATATTTCTTTGTATTTTAGTATCTAGCAATGCTCTACCTTGAGTATGAAAAGTAGAAAATTAATAGGTGACTCTTCATATTTCAGATTTATTCACACCCAGTCGTTCCAGTAGTTATTTCCCTTCTGTGTCTACTGTCAACTCAGCTACAACAGATAGCAGCAGCCATTCTTCCCAGGTAAGAATGGTTCTCAATGTTTAAAACAGCCTCGGGTTCATTGCCCAACACACTTCCAGCAGGGAACACCAGTGATGGACTGATTGCATCCTCAGTACCTGCTCCTGTCATTCGTGATGTTGGCACTGGCTGGCCAGCATTAGAAGTGAGGAGTCTTTCATCCAGCCATCGGATTTCACTCCCAACTCATCTCTTAGTGGACCACAAACGTTTATGTTAACCCCTACCATTCTGTGTTTCTGTGTTTCAGACACCCTTGCCACTGCTTCAGCCTGCGACAGAGCAGCACGAGTCCCCGTTACCTGCAGTACCTCTGAATTCCAGCTTAAGCTCTCCACCAGCTGCATTTGCTGCACCGGAAACCCAGAAGTTTGGCTTCTGTGAATCTACAGTTATCACCCACACAGCTTCTGCTACGTTGACCCACAATGCCCCTGCCACCACCTTCAGCCAGAGTCAGAACCTTGTCCTGGCAACGCAGCAGCCAGGTGCAGGCGTGCCTTGTAACCTGGCTTTCCAGACTGCTGTCCTGCAGGGACAGCCCCGGCCCCAGCTGCAGTCCCAACTGACATTTGCACTCCCCAAACCTGTTCCTCTGGCCAGTGCTGGGACGAGGCCCAAACAGTCACAAAAAGTAGTGCCTGCTCCGAAGCCTGAAACAGTGTCCTTATTGTTAAAGAATGCCTTCATCACCCCAGGTGAGGAGCACTGGTGAGGTGATGTTTTTCTTTTCCGAGTGGGACTAGCAGGAGGGAGACACCTTCTTGCTTTTCTTGGTTTACATCATAAGTAGAAATATAGCTTCCTGAGGGTGTCCAAGGGACCCCTGAGTCCACTGGTGTGTGGCTGCACTGTTCAATGGGATGCTGTGGACTGCTGTGAGGATTGGAAGCAGTTTGGTTGTGAGTGTGAAAAGCTGGCCTGCCAAAGGGGATATCGTATAAGTTGTGCTAGGCTGTATAGATGCATCAGCACATGTGATGACTACAGTTCTGTGCTCCTACCCCATAGAAACCTTGGTTTTGATGTTTAATGCTGTTCTGTTTATCTCTGCCCTTCAGAACATTCAACCACAGTAGAGCTGGAGATGGTAGGGTGATAGTGTGGGATGGAGAATGGTGGATCTGTCCCTGTCACTGACTCATCTGGTTGCACTGGACAGGTCACTACGCCTACCTGTGCATGATCACACTCTGTAATACCAGGGTACTCGTGTACATCCTTTGGTAATACCATGGATGTATTCTGAGGTTTATCTTGGTGTGCCTGAAACTCTTTGAGACCAAGTAGTGTTGGCTAGGGAGCAGCTGTTGAAGTGGACCACAGCATTGGCCCAGGTGGAAGCATGGGAGTGTGCCTCTCATCGACCATCAGTGCTCCCTAGCAGGACCAGGGTGATGAGAATCAGCCCTTCCAGTGGGGAAGGACTAAGAATAGGCAAGGGGAGCTGAACATCTTTATCTCAAGCAATCTGCAGCCTCCTGAGATGCTGTCAGGAGCACCTGGTTTTCAGTTTGGAGTATGAGTGCCTGACTGACATCCTGGGACCTTCACATCGGGTGGGATTTGGAGCCACTGGCGCTGCACAAGGCTAAGAATAGCAAACATGAACAAAGAGAGTTTTGCTTGTGGGAAAGCTCAAGGCTAGAGCAGAACAGGCAGTACACTTTTTCTTGGGATTATTGCACTCTGGTTCGAGACTTGTGCTGGCTGGGGGCCAAGTGACTTCAGCCACCTCAAATGTGGCAACAATAATCCAAGAAAAACCCTGCCTGGAGGAGTCTTGTTAAACAGGCTTTACTAAGGACTAGGTGTGTCTGCCAGGGCCTGGCATTGTGGTTACCCACTGGGGGGAAAAAAAAAATCACTGTTCAGGAGTAGAACAGACCCAAGGATCTAATTCTGACATGCCACTGGGAACAAGTTGGTCCACGATTAATAGCCCTAGGGTGTTAATGGCAGTGCTTCTGTCTATAGTATGTTGTAAAGCAAGAATCCATGTACTGTCAGCAGTCAAGACATGCATTTCTCACCTAGTATAATAGGCAACTCATTTTCAGAAAGCCTTTGCTCCTGGCTTTCTTAGTGCTTCCTGGGTTGTTCTTCACCCCATATATCACTTTCCCGGTGCTTTGTCAGTTACTTCTAGACCATCACAACAAACAGCTTTGTTTATCATCTAGATTTAGAGTTGTTGCTGTTTTCCATTCCTGGTAGTGGCACGTGTTCAAGAATCACAGTGCTCCTAAAGTACTGGGACACTAGGCTCAGAGGTCAAATCCAAGATTTTATGTAAAGACTGGAGCTTTATTTTTGGTGATACAATAAACATGAGTACTTGTAACTGAGGCATTTATGCCTGTCATTTGTGTTCAGGACAAACAAATGATCTCATGATTATAAAGCAAAATGTATTATAACCTGTGTTAGAAAAGGATGTGTAACATTTACTGCCCTGAGATATAAGGACTTAAAAATCTGCAGAGATTTTCTCATCAAGTGCAAGACTTCTCATGGGAAAGAGCTCTGCTATCACAACTTCAGGATAAATGTTCTGATTTTGAGAGAAAAATCGGCAGAAGGTGCATGTGTAGGATATAAAAATGAAAAATGTAAAGGGGCATCTAAATATGTGTTGATTGTGACAGTTACCCAAACGTGGAAGTTGGAAATACGAAGTTTGTACAGCAGCATTAATGCATTGGTGAGAGGAGGCTCTTTAGCTCAGTAGAGATGCCCTAAGTCCGGCTGAACATTAGTGAACAGTAGAAGAGTTGTGATTCCAGCTTTGTATGTGGGAATACTCAAAGAATGAACTCCCTGTATCAGTGTGACAGTGCTCTCTGCCAGATATACCCGCGCAAGGGCTGACATAAGGTTTGTGCAGTCCACAGGCCTTTCTAATAAAGGCTATACAGAAACTGTAGTTCATTCAGAACACGGTTGTTAGTCACAGATGACACAGTTGGGGAGAGGACATTGGATATCCCGCACTGTCTCCGTGTCCTACTGTGTGTGTCCTTCAGTATCCTGATGCTAAACTGCAGAGGGGTGGGTGGGCAGTGACTGAGCGATTGTGGCGGTTTTCATACATCACAACTTTATTGGTAGGAAGGAGAGCTGAAGCCCATACAGGCTAGAATGAAACCAAGGAAGTTTGGTTTCGTTTTCTCAAAAAGCATACAGAAGCTGTGTCTTTGCATGATTCTTCTCTTAGTAACAGTATAGGATGGTTAGTCATGTTCTTTCTAAAGTCTGGGCAAGAACAGCGTCAGCATTAATACCATGTAAGTAACTGTACATCTGTACTGGTTAAGTTGAAACCCTAACAGATTTGTTAGCCTCGAATACTGTAGCGGTGAAAAAGACTTTAGAGCAAGGATCCCGCTTCCTCTCCTGAGGGCAAGCCTCCTGTACAGACTTCTTTTGAGAAATTTTTGTAACTTTGTGGAGACAATGGCTGCTATTCACAATTATCTCTAGCTGTTTAACACTGCAGACCTCCTGATTCTTTAGCCTATCTGCTGGAATTTTGGTGCTGATTATCAATCACGTTTGATTATCTTGTGCCTGTGTGTCATGTAGAGCAGCTATAAAATGGATTAGTGGAAGAAGTTAGTAGAGTGAAGTGGTGAGGAAGAGAACTTGGATACAAGGAAGCATGAAACATTGAATATGCATCTGTCAGTTGGTTCCTGTCATTGACCCTTTCTGGGTCAGCAGAGCGAGCCTGAGATCCAAGAATTATGGATGTAAGAGGAGAGGTGAAGATGATCCTTCTTCTGTCAAACCCAGCTCTGATAGAATGAAGACACTTTGTACCTCCCTGATTTACTAGGTAGCTCTGTAAATTCAGCTTGAAACAGTGGTGATAGAAGCCTCAGAAATCACTGGTGTGTAAAATTCCTTTGTACTAGATTAATGGGATTATCAGAAAAATGGTGGCACTTTGTATTGCAATGAAATAGTACCAAATAGGTGCCCATTAATCCATTCCCCTATTCAATTATGCGTTATTTCATACAAAATAATCTCCAGCTTTTTTTTTTTTTTCTGTCTCATTAACTATGCTAACTTAATTGTGTTCTTCAGCTGCCTTTCAGGGACAGTCCAGAGCTGTGATTGTAACTCCAGCACCTTTAAAAAGAGAGGGGATTTTGACGCCAGCCACGTCTCAATCTAATGTTGCAATTGCACCAGCTGGAATTGTCAGAGTAAGGAGAAGAAAAAAAATGTATATATATTTGTTTTCTAGGCCTGTTATTTTCCAATATTTAGAGCCATAATGTGCTCAGGAGGGTAACTAGTCCACTAAATCTCACCTGTTACCCAGCATATGCGTTTGTGCATTCAGCATTATGTTTGCTAATTTTTAATTTAGCTACTGTATGGGCCTGGAAGCACTGTGTAGTCTTCACAGACTCTGTCTTGCGCAACACAATACTGTGAGGATGGTTTGTGATTTTTCTTAATTGTGCAGAGGCTAGAAGCAACCCAGGATGCTCACCTTTCCATTTACATATTGGAAAGCATGCCTGGACTATATGAGCGGGTTTCCCAATGTGTTGTATACAGGAAGATGGAAATAGATTTTAGTATATTATGCTATTCATGCGCTGTAATACTGCTTTAAGTTATGAAAGGATACTGGTCTCCTGCCAGAAGTTTGACTTCAGTGCCTGCCAATTCCTTATATATTTAGCTGTTGTTTCATGTCATCAGATTGTTAATCGTGTGTTAATTTGCTACTTTTAGTGAAAGGCAAGGTAACAAATCTCTCTCTCTCTCCCCCCTCTTTCTCCTCTCTCTTATCCCTTCTCTCCCTCTGCCCCCATCCCCTCCTTCCTGCTTCTTTTTCTTTCTCTCTGTTTTTCTCTGTGCTATTTCTATGCTGTTCCCAGGCTCCCGGGGTGACGGAGTTCCGTAGTAACATTCTGGTTGGTCCAGCACAGCGAGCACCAAGTAGTCAACAAACCCAGTCCACAGTCTCACATCTCTTCTCTCCTAGTGTAGTCCAGGATGTGTTGGTGAAAGGAGAGCAAATCCCTTCCCACAGTACCAGTTCACAAGTTCCCTCACCTACACCTAGTAAGTTAGAAAGCTGTAAGCATTCTCTCTCCCCTACACATGTGTGTTTCCATTGGTTAGGCAGGGTGTAAATGGGCCTTGAGGATCCCTGGGTAATTTTTGAAGGAAAAGCTTTTTAGGCTTTTCTGCCCTGCAGCTTCGGTTGCATCCAGCTGTTTGCAGTTTTTGTCTTAAACTACTGTGCAGTGTTCCCGCAAACTGCAATTTTGTGCTTCCTGTAAGTGGCTCCTTTCTAAAAGGATGTACTGTCGTAGTCGCCAAGAAATTAAACCCATGTGAAAGGCATCTGTGTAGAAAGTGCTGAATAGGTTTGTTGTTCAGTATCATAACTATAACTTTGATTGGAGGATCTCAGACACAATCCTTGTTAACAATAGGTAAGTGCAAAGACTCCTTTTGCATGCGTGTTGCTAGAGCGGTGTCTGGGCTGGTTTGAGACATATGCTGGTTTTGCTGGTAAATGGCCTGTGTTACTGTCATGTCCCACAGCCTCAAAATGGGGGAGTCTAGCAGGACGATGGAATTGCAGCCTACACACTCAACATGCCTTTGCTGAAGTGTGCGTGTTTGAAAGGACTATTACATATCGCTATTGGGGATGTATTAGCCTTGTGCCATGAAATACTAAGCTTTCCCAGCAATCTTGACGTTTTCTAGCATGTGGTTGCTGCATCAATGAGTATAATTTGGTTGCCGACTGCATTTCAGTTCAATTCTGAATAGAAACTTCTCAGCAGTTGCATTTGCTACAAAAAGTTGTTTGTTCATGTGACTTGTCTTTCTTCCTTCATGAAGGCCGAGACTGTCAGAATTCAGGCCAGGCTTCCCCCTGCACCTCTGAGCAGAGCCCCAGTCCACAGTCTTCCCAGAACAGCTGCTCAGGAAAACCTTCCACTGACCCTAATACGGCTGCAATTAAGGTGTGTGTCCTTTCGTTTGAGGTGCTTTTCTTCTTTGCCTTTGTAGCTACTTTTCTGCCATGATGTCTGAGCATGGACTAGAGAGTAAATTGTGCTTTAGGAACAGTGGAGTATTTGTGCCTTAGGCTTAGCTTGCGCTGCATCTGTGCTGCTCTGTTCAGTTCAACATGTCAGACTTTAATAATCTGCTCTGCTCCTCAGGGTTGTGTCACCAGAGGGGCCAGGCTTAAATGTACCTCTGCAGGTCCTTACGGTCGTGACAGCAGTTCCTACTGTGGCTCACAGGAGCGTTATGACAGGTCTCAGTTTACTTGGTCAAAGGTTTCAGGCTTAGTTTTCTGAACTGTGGCTTTTTGCCATTGTTCTGTTGGGGATCTTCAGGTCTGCAGGGCTCTGGCCATCGCTGGAGGGGGAGTTCTTGACCTGCTGAGTTACTTACATGTCTCCAGTGATGCTATGCTGCTCCACAGAGAAGCAGCTCCACAGACTCTACAAGTTACAGCTGTAAAACACCTCAAGAATTACTGGGGTAAGAACTTGGCGGTCTAGAGATAGCATCTGAAAGCTGGCTGTACCTCATACACAAACTGACCTTGTCAGAACACTTTCTGTGACGGTATGAGAAGCTTCTCCACAAAAAACAGCCGATGCAGGAAAACCCTCTCATTGGTTCTGTTGTGAAAGGGAGTGTTACTTAACCATTTTGCAAGTGCCAGCCTCATTTGGCTTCTCTGGCTCTGTATACTCTGAGTTGATGTCAGCTGATTACTCCCAGGGCAGAAAGGTAAGTTTGAACACTTGCAGCCAGTCAGTGCACTCAGTTCTAGCTTGGCTGCAGAGGAGAATCAGAACTGCCACTTGCTGAGTGTGCTGCAGGGTGCTCGTAAAAGTTCTTTGCTTGGCATAAATGCTCGCAATGAGTAGTTGCAGCCTGTGCTTGCTACTAGAGAGCAGGTTAACAAAGGAACAAATTATTAGGACTGGCCGATGGTGGGAAAGTGGCCACTAGATGGAGGAGTGTTCTTAAAAGTAGGGGCACTGCAAGCAGATGGGCTTTATAGCTGTTTAAACTCACCTGCTTTGCGTGTGTACTGTCAGTAAATCTCCTGTAAGACGAGAGAGAAACAGTGATGTTTGCCAGTCTCTAGATGTATGCTCTTTTGCTCCTCTGCAGTGTTAGACTGAACAATTCCATACCATTGTTTTTTTCAGTTTGGCAAAGCTTAGAGGGCACTGGAAATCTCAGTTGTGCTCTTGAACCTGCATTTTCTGTGGCTTTGGGCAGCCATTTCACTGCTTTATTACACTGTCTTCCTGCATCATAAAATTGGGTGATGGTGAGCTACCGCTGGAAAGCCTAGCCGTGTTGAGAATGCGTCCTCAAAATGCCAACTCCATATTTTCATCCCAGGATTTTGGTGGAAACAACTTCTAAATTTTTAATGCTACAGATGAAAATGTCAATTCCTGACAAAGCCTTTATCCTCAGGACAGGACAGAGTTGTGGATTCTTTTTTCTTCTTCTCTTTTATTTTTGTCAAGCTGCCTGTTTACATCAGTAGACATTATGTATATATTAGGAATGAATCATATGGACTGTTTTAAACTTAAAGGCTTCAACAAGATCCGAACTAATCACATGCCTCAAAAATTGGAATTTGACTTCAGAAAAGGAAATTGTGTACCGTTCTTAAATGGGAATTTTTACTTTAGGAAGAAAACCTGACAAGGTTTGGAATGAAATTTAATACACTGGACAGTTCTTTTTAATAACTTAAATCATTGTTTGCAAATTTGTAGTCATGTGGCTTTCAACAAAAATGACACTGAATTTGAATAGCTGAAATAGCAGTAGAACTGTAAAGGAGAACAACATAGAATGAGCTAATTTTATTTATGCAGAATCAAAGAATGAAGCATATTTCAGAACAAAAACGAAGATTTAATATCAAGAATGGTTTCAGTACTCTGAAGAGCTTGGTTCCAACCAACTCCAAGTTGGTGAGTACCTTGGCAGCACTAACAGTTTAGTATGGAATGTAAGAAAGAGCCGTTCTAGAAAGACTTGTTAATAAATTTAATTTCTTCACTGTTGACTGAAAATGGCAGTCAGTCAGTGAAGGTACTTGAAGTGAGGGACTTGGAAAGGGAAGGGTGATAACTCCATGGCTTATAGTTGTCAAAAAAGTGTGTGAAAGTGCTTGATTTGTTCTTCATATGCAGCTTCAAACATTGAACGAGTCTTGTCTGATGAGATTTTTTCTTAAATTTGGCCCTGTGCCCACAGCCTTGCAGATATTCTCAGGGCTTTTTTTTCCCCATTGCCTGTCTTTTGTGCATAGATTGACAGGAGACAAAAATTCCCAACTGACTTCATTTTGTCAAATGTCTCTGTCCAAATTAAGAACATATTCTGGTTACACTAGTTAACTTAGTTCACTAAATTGAAATCAAAATAATGGAAACACGGGCTTGTCTGCACAACAAAATTCTTAATGTCCTTTAAATACCGGTACCTTTTGAAACGTGGGAAATATGAAAGCTTATTGTACAGCATGTTGATTTTGGTTACATAAATTTTGTAGTTTTATACATTTAGGCTGTAAGTTGTCAGAATTTCACTTCCTGATTTGAATAGCCTGTTTGAAAGGTAGTCAGTTTTGAAAACTCAGCTTTAGTAAAATGTGTTGATTAATTTCTTTCTCAAGTACAGATTTTTAATTCTTTTCTCAAAGCTTAAGACTGTTTTTAAAAATAACTGTGACATTTTCTGTTTCCTTTGGCAATAGCTAGACTATGTTACATTCTGTTTAATAACTTCCCAAATGAAATAATCTATATAGTCAGCTTCAAACAATGCTTTTAGCAGCACCATAAACCTATCAGCAGGTGTAGCACATCCTTCAGTACTTCAGTAAGAACTGTGAATATTTTTAAGAGGATAGGTAATGAAATAAACCATTTTAAGTTATTAAAATACTTCTTTCAGTGACTTAGCAAAAATGTAATTTGTGGAAGAAAACAACCACTACACTTCTCTGTACTGGTGTGCAAACAGGAGTCAGAGAAAGGAAGAGTTCAGTGTTTCAGTCTGACTATCTGTGTGTTTTTGCACACAGTGAAGGAAACTTAAGAAAAGGTGCTGAAGTGCTCTTCTAGGTGTTACAGCAGGTTAGTGGCAAACTCTTCATCTGTCTAGCTTTGTTCCAGAAAGTGAGCTCTATGTTTGTGTTTGGTCTAGATCAGCCATGCAATCACGCTCCAGAAAACAGTAGAATATATCGCTAAACTACAGCAGGAAAGAGCACAGATGCAAGAGGAAACCAGGCGCCTTCGGGAAGAAATCGAGGAGCTAAACGCTACCATCATGTGAGATTTGGGGAAATTTCTGTAATGAATCAGAGCAGCTTGAATGTTGCTTTGGTCAGCAACGGGGGACGTTTGCCTCGGATGCCGTGCCAAACGACAGATGGGTATTAAACAGAACTAGAGTTGCTACCAACTTCCAAACAAAAAGCACAATTGCTGTGAGATGGGCATTAGTAGCAAACCGTATGGATTTTCAGCAAGCTCTGAGCATGAATGCACAGCAGTGGCAGCATCAGAAAAGATGCAGAAAATCAGAATAATTCTGAGAAGCCGCCAGTGACGATGGTTTTTTAAAGCTAGGCTCACTGGGTGATCAAACATTCTTATTCTTTGTGATGGCTTTGCTGCAGTTTTCTTTCCAAATGCAGTCAAGTTTTATAGGAAAATATGGCTGGGTACATAAGACGCAGGACCTTGGAATCAAGGAGCTAGGCACTGTCTGAACATAACCCTGATAAGGCACTTCACCTTCCTGGTACCTTGGTTTCCTCTGTGGGTTTATGGTAGTTATGTGCGATTGCAAAGCATGTTGAGAACCCCAGTGGTTTTTCTTCCATCCACAGAAGGGTTAGGCTCAGACATTATGTTAGACTTATCAGCAAATCAAAATCTTTTTATTTTTCTTTGAAGTATGATGACGTCTGGTTTTATTTTAAATTGATCTGTTTCTTAAGAATCTTTGTAACATTTTCTTGTGTAACGTTGCTTAGGAGTAACTCTGTAAATTTTTTCTTGACTCCTAATGTGCCTTTTTGTAATTGGGTGCCAAAACCTACTTTGTTCTGTCTTATACTTTAGTTTGAGTTTTGTTGCTTGTAATTACAAGTGTGTAGCAGCTTGAGAAATGGCTTTGTTGCGTGAATGTAGACAAAATTGTTTGGAAAACAGTATGTATTCTTGGCTATAACAGCTACATCCCTGGGGGGTCTTGCACTGGAAGCCACCTCGGTCAAGGATACTGGGGATACACACTTTTGCCTGGACAGAATTTAGTCTGGAAGAGAGGTGTGACCTTTCTGGTGGGGGTTCTGACCTCAGAACATCTTCTTTTCAGTTCTTGTCAACAGCAGCTACCTGCTACCGGGGTTGTCATAACACGGCAAAGACTTGAGCCCATGAGGAAGATGTTTGACGAGTATGTGAGAAGCAGGACCCTGCAGAGCTGGGAGTTTTGGATTGTATCCTTTTCTATCAACCTGCTGAACTGAGGTTTGGTACTGATACGTTTGGAGGCAAGAACTCTGGATTCTGATGCTGTGACTTTAAGCCAAGTAGTTTAAATAGCGTATGTTCTCAGTTTTCATTCACATCTATATGTGGATGTGAATTCTTGCCTTACAGGCTGTCACAAGGCAGAACTTGCTCACCTTAAAGTATGGGAGGTAACAAGAAACTCAAATACAATACAAAGTCAAGGTTTTCTTGGTGGATTATTGTACTGCAAGGAATGTTTCATGGACTGCTTCTGTAAGTGTAGCTCTTGTAGTCTTTTGTAAAAACTGAACAGAGAGTAACAGATTTTGGAAAAAGAAAAAATTATTATGAAAAATTATTCAAACCGTTGCAATGACAATTCTAAAAACTTAACATCTCTCTCCTCTCTTTTATTTGTCTGTTGTTACAACAATGAATCAGCTTAGCTTCTCTTTTGCCTCTGGCAGCTGTGCTTGTAAGTGAATGATAATGCAGGAGGTAGAAAGACACAAGCTGAGGATGGAACCAGGTTAGCTGCATTTGTGCTGTGCTGTACAGACTTAACTAGTTTAGATCAAATGTTATTAGCTTGAATCAGTTCAGGGATATTATTAATCAGCAATGAGCAGAAGTGTTAAGTTTCGCTTCTCCCATTAAACTTCATATGTTCATATAGCTATTTATTTGCACTTTATATTTTGTGTGTTTGTGTTTTGTGCTCATTATCCACTCCTTAAGTACCTGGATAATCTGAACATATATGCACATGTATGAAGTACAGCATTTTTAATACTCTGATGTGTAAAAATGCTTTATTTGGTGTTTTCCTGGTTGATAATGGCCCTAGAAAGATACTCTCCTTTAGAAGGAAACAATTCTCAGCAAAGAAGGAAAAAATTCTCAGCAAGATCTCGCACAGTCTCTGGTACCTTAGAGCCGGTGCAGCTGTGGAACCTCTGGATTCTACAGCACTATTAACTCTGGAACAGTTTCAAGTGAATTTTTAAAACAGTGGTCTTTAATACAATGAAGATCATTATTTAAAGACAAATCCCACACATGTTTGCTGACTGGATAGTGTGTTTAATTTTATGCTGCTCCAAAATGTTAAATAGCTCCAGAATTTGGGAGAGATTTGTGGCAGAGGTTATCAGAGATGAAGATGTGATTTTGGGTAGCTGGCTTTTGGGAAAGGCAAAGGCTTTTGTAGTTGGTGAAAGCAGGTTGGTAGGCAAAGGAACGTTCCCAAACTTGCCTTTACAAGTCAGGATGTAACTGTGATGGCAGAGTTGTTCTAACGGCTGAATTGAATTCTTAATACATGCTGACATACTTCAGAATGACAAGCTCCAGGGGTGAGTGCTAATAATAACAATGATAATAAAAAATCTCCTCCTACTGAAATGACTGTCAGCGAGCGAAGGGCAGTTTCCTTACAAATATGAAAATACCATAGTTTCTGTTGCATGTAGGAGGGAAATGAGTGATCTGATCTTGGACTACTAGAGATAACCCAAGAATAGAATACTCTTGAATATTAGAATATCGATAAAATAGTACCCATGTTGTTCTTCCAGTCACTCTGTAAAAGTCTATAAGGGCATGAAATCCCCTAAAGTATGCCAGGCAATGGTTAGACTGATCTTGATTGTTAGCCACAGTGAGAAAGACGGGCGTGCCTGACAGTGCTGCGATTGGCTTGGGCCAGTTTCTCACATGCTGCTGACTGTAGTCAGGAAATCCCATCTGGAGTAACATGGTAAAACCACAGATTCTGACCCTTCAGATGAGTTTTATCATCCCACCAGCTTCTGAGATTAGTGTACCTGTAAGCTGGAATCTTCTTGGTGAATTATCATGGTGATGTTACAACAAGCTGTTTTCAGTTCAAATACGGTGACCATTCCAGGAAAGCTCATCTCAAAGCCTGGGAGCTGGGGCCAACTGAAGCTCTGTATGTTTTAATACACTACATGCTAAGAATTCTGCCTGCTCCTTTTCTGCCAAGAAGCTTGTTGCCAACTCCGGGCCCATCCTTCCAAACTGTGATGATAGAGAGCCAAAAGAAAAGCCTGACAGTCCTCAGCTTGCTACTCTTCTGGTCCACATAAACGCAGATCAGCAAGTCTAGTCCTTGGTGGGGAAATCCTTACCACACCATCGATCATCTTGGAGAATATGCTTAGGTACTTTGAAGTCTTTGTTTAGCTGCAATAGTAGAGAATTTGAGTGTTTGCTGAAAAATCTGCCTGGGAAATTGGCTGAATACTTGCCCTGTTGGCCTGTGCTGGACTCACTATTGCCAGGCAAGACTCAGCCAGGTCCCCCACTTTGGACACATCTGTGGTGTGCTGTGGTAAGAGGGGTGTGGTTATACTAAGGCTTCTGTATCCTTTTGCTATAAAAGCACCTGTGTTATATGAAAAAGGTAGAAATAAGGATTACATGTGTGTAGAAGCTTCAGGTACTCGCATGCTTGCAACAGTGCCAAAGCATGCAGTTGGTTTGTAGGAGACCAGGTGAGTTTTACAGGAATTCTGCAAAAAATGATGAGTATAACTATGAACTGAGGTTCAATTTTTTCCTTTGTCTTAGTGTTACAAATTTTAAAAAATATTTTTTCAAGTGTTACAATCCCTCTAGTAGTTGAAGTCCCTTTAGAAGCCCATTGTTTTCTCTGCAGACTGAGCCGTCGTAGTCTTTCCAATAGAATGTTTTGAATTCCTCCTTTGTTGTCTCCCTTAACATTCAATGATTTGCAGTTCAGCATTATTATTAAGCCACTGTTTGACTCCTTCAATGGGATGTTTTGCGCAGCAAGCTTTAAGGATCTGAATCAAACTGCAATGGACTGGTTGGATCAGCACTGTTCTCTTCCTGTTCTGAGGCCAAGTAAGTCAACTTCTATCCAGCAGTTACTCCACATCGTAGGAAGTCAGACCATATGTAATACTATTTCTTTAAAGTCAGAGGATGATAAAGCAAGCACATGATGCTGAATATGACTTCCAGTTCCTTTTTATTATCTCAGTGGAAAAATAAGAAACTCTTTTGACTGTGAAGACACTTGGTTGCATGCTTAACGCTGAATAGGAAAAAAAACCCCGAATTGCTGGATGTAGATACCAGAATTTAAACAGTCTCAAGCTGCATTTAAATTTCAAATACTTCACTCTAGTTGGAGTAAGTTTGACAGTGTGATTTATCTCATTATAAAGGAAGACTTCTGAGATTTATATTTAGCTTTGGAATGACCTTCTGTTTGGGCATGATTGCTTGATCCTTTCCCCCTGACTGTTCAGCAAGTATTTACATTTAGAGTTATAATTGTCAAGTGGTACTCTCTTTTGTAGAAGAAACAGGTGTTTGGCTAAAAGTCCTGGATCTCTATTGCTTGTTCCCTGGGCACAGTTCTTGCACTTCTGTTTCTTGCTGTCGCTGTGTGTGGAGGAGTACATGTTTTGCACAAGTGATTCCTTAATTCTGTCATGTGTAACAGCCTTGCAGTACCTGCAGGCTGTCCTGCATGTATCTGTTGGTCTGTTGGCAGTCTGACTGGTGGCTTTTCTTGATAATTCTGTCATCTTTTTTTTTTTTTTTTTTTTTCGGAGGGAAAAATCCGGCGCCTCCAGCCAAGCTCAGAAGTGCCGGGATGTGGGGTAGGACGAGTTACCAAGATGAACAAAAGCACTGGCGAAACCTAACAACCAAAGACAATGAGTTGCTTATACAAGGGGTGGAGAACCTGCCAGTCTAGCAGCCTGGCGAGTCTGCTTTCAGTTGGTGCACTTTAGAAAGAATTCTCTCCATCACCCGAGACATTGTTCAGGGCATCAGGCTCTGCCTTCAGAATACGTGGAAGTGTGATGCAACGTTGTCATAACATTTTGATTCCTCTTCAATGCTGTGCTGTACTCCGTTAAGTGAAAAAACACCAAGCTCAGGTAAATTTAGCAGGTTTGAGTCCTGCAGGCAGCAATATATCTCCATCAATGCAGCATGCATCTATATGCAACAAATATATTTCTATGAAACAGCTTCAAGTACTAAGTACTCTGAAGTGTAAATCCTGTACACCAAGGAATGTTCTCTTCAAGGGGAAATACACTTTCGATTTTGTGAAACAAAATGTGCTTTTTATTTTGTTATCTGGTATTCAGTTCCATTTGTTTTACTTGAATAGTGAAAATTGTTAAACAGGATCATATTAAAAACCAAAGGAGAAGAAAAATCCATCAATGATATCAACTCTCGTGGCAAAAATACTAGAATTAAAATCTCAGGCTTTTTTTGTGTATTTTTATTTTACTGAGTGTATCATTGCATATGATCAGTTTCGAGACATGCTTTATTTTCTAGCAAATAAAGTAGCTGATTTTTATGATTTTTCTTGATATAGCCATTGCAGGTGAGTAGCAGGCTGTGCAGCAAGTGCAGCAAAGGAGTTTTATATTGCATAGATTCTGAAATTAGGATAGATACATGAATTTCATACCCATTGAATCTGTGAACCTTTTTCTTGCACTCCGCAGAGTTCAGCTGCCTTCCTCATAAAATGTGCACATATAAAACACATCCATAGATACATGTAGTAGCGCTTCAGAGACACGAATTGAGTTTATAATGTTAAGAAATTGGCTTTTTTGTTATCTCAGAAACTATATCAAACCACATGGACTTATAGTCAGTTCTTTGCTTCTTCATCTTTTCTGCTTGTTCTTTTTGCCTTCTATCTGAAAAACCTGAAGGACTTAGCGAATTTGGTCTGTATGGGAAGGTTATGTTCAACATGAATTCTAAAACATGTTAAGATATGTTTAAAAACCAAAATACTGCATAACATTTTTCTGTGACAGTCTCAGCAGGCACTGTGCGCTGCAGCAGATAAACTTGGTCTCGTTACAGCAGTGATCATCTGTCCATCCTGAGACAGCACCGGGATATTCATTCCAGCTGATTGTTCTTAGTCTGGAATGATCCTATGACCCTTGTAATTCCACTCACGGCTTGATTCAGATTCTTAAGAGCTATGCAAACTGTGAGTAACGTTTCCTGGGTGCCTCCCCTGAGTAGTTTTCTTCCAGTTTCAGAAACAGGCTGCCTGGAGGTGATGAGCAGGCGATCACAGGGCTAAAATGAGGAGCACCTAAAACATTTGGGCATTGCGCATGCTTAAGTGGGGTCAGTAGCTTCTCCTTCTTGGGATGTAGTTTGTCCTCTGCATTGTCCCCAACCTTCTCCACGTGGCAGGCCAAAGTTTAGAAAGAAACAATAGGCTTGGGGGCTGGGACTAAGCACAGGGAGTATTTCTCTTTATTCTTTGTCCTGAGATTTTGCAGCTAATGGCTTTCATTGCAGAGTTCACTTACGTGTGAGCAGGACTGTAGCAAGAAGAAAAGCACGGAAGGTTAACCCTAGGGCCCTCTCCCTGTGCAGAAGTACCATGAGTTGAGGAATTGGGGGCTGAAGGGGACTGCGAGGAGGGGAAAGGAGCCGAAGGAGAAGGCAAAGTGGCATGACTGCAGTACCAACATGCCTTTCTGTAGCTGTGCAGACAAACGAGGAACCAACAAAAATTCAGGCCTCGGCTAAGGAATGGTTTGTTGAAATAATGTATAAAGGTTGTCGTAGTAATTAAATAGCGAGTAGATTTTCTGGGGGGATCCATATTTGGGTCTTTCGTACATAATGTTGTAATCAATTAAGCAATATTCTTTGGGGTGCATCTGGATAAAATAGTGTTGAGTAAGTGTAAATGCTTTTTTCAACCAGTGCTTTAAATCTTCCTGTTTTTGTCATTGGTTGTGAACTTGATTCCAGTGAAGTCATTTAACACTGTGATTAGCTGGGGAACATCCCTCAAGTTCTTTCTCTACTGGGCTATCTCATTGAGATACATAGATATCTACATGCATATTTGCATGTTAAAAATATGTATCCGGTTTTCTAGAAAGAAATCAATAGGCAAATTATCCAAGAACAGACCCACTTGTATTTTTGCTGTACTTTTCAGATGAACAGTTTCTGTAATGCCTCCCCTGCAGTGTGGTCTCCTGCTCATCAGGCAGTGATTGTGCTTGATTTTTCCCATTACTGTTATCATTGACATGAGAGTTTTGTCTCAATAAGCAAAGTGCACTACAAGCATACTTCAAAGCACAAGGAAGTTGTACCGGGACAACTTCTAAGCTTAAATCCGAACATCTCGGATCTCAGCGAATGGATTGGAAGCTGAAAGGGACGTTAAATGAATAGGAAGGGGTAGTGTGACTGAACTGCTAAAAATTCTGTGCATTAGCAGTTTTTATCTGGATGTGGATGGAAAAACCATTGTGCTCATTGCACCATGAGCTGGTTACAATTGGAGGGAAAGTGCTTATTTTAATAACTTGTGGTGGAGAAACAGGCTCATGACACTATTAAAAGAATGCAAATCTTAACATAGTAAAGAGAAAAAAGTTAAATCAAAGATTGCTTGCTTAGGCAAGAGTGTAGGAGGGAGGGAAGCAAAAGTGAAAAGATACTTTCCATATAGTGCAATTACCAGAAATGATGCGACTGCTCTTTGAAGCAGTGATTCAGTGTATTTTTGTCACCCTAGTATTGCAAATCAGATTTCTTTCATCAATCAACCTTGTGAAGGGTATGATTTCACTTCATTTGGAAACAGGAGGAAAAAGCTGTATTGTGTCTCACATCTGCACAGTAGAAGTACTGAGGACTGGTATGGAAAGAGATTGACCACGTATGTATTAATTCCTGCATAGTTTTCTGCTTTGGTTTATATTTGAACTCCTTAGTCTGTCTTTCTTACCCGTTGAGGAGTCTAAATACTGTATTTCTTTTTTAAAAAAAAAAAGTTTGGTAACACTCTCTCCCTTAATTTAAGCGATCTAGTTTCCTCTGTGTCACCAAAGTATATTTAAACAAGCAAGACTCACGGTGCCTGTAGCCTACACGGAACTACAGATGATGCACATCTGTTTTCAGTGAATTGGTGCTAAACTTTTGAAGAATCACCATATAATTGAATACCAGTCATATTCAGTCAAATCCAACACATTTCACTCAATAAGAAAGTGTCTAGATAAAATGTGTGTGGCCTGGGATGTGCACGTAGTCAAACTAAGATTGTCTAGTGGCTCCTTCTGACCTTGAGTTCTGCTAATCACTATATTGTAGATGGCCCCTACCCCAAACATAAGTTCTGGAGAACTTGTGCGTTATCTGACATAGTTATTAGGCTTGTGTGATGCTCCCCGTTAGCAGGAGGAATAAGTGGTGAAAGTCCAGGAGCAAACTAGAACTGAAGGAATTAATGAGTAGCAGGAAGAGAGACAAGCGTGTACTTCATCTGATCTGATCTCTGCACAAAACCAAAGGATTCTTAATCAATACCATTTGACGTGATTGGCATGTTCTTCCATGCTTTTCTAGACCCCTCAGGAAGCCTTCCTTGAAGGGACACTTATTAGAATGTTTCCATCTGTGCCTTAGAGCTTGGCATCCTGTATGCACTTGATTTCTCTTGAGTCATACGTTCTTCCCCCTAATACGGTGCTCTGTGGAAGATTCAGTGAGTTGACAAAGTGGGGCTTCCCTGGGTTTTGAGAGGATTTTATCTGCGTGGCATTACAGCGTCCCTTTGAAACTGAGGTTGTGAAAAATTCTGTCTATTTTTGGAAAAAATTGCATCTTTCCGTCCTCCCCTCGCATGTGCAGGGTCACATACGCACACGCGTACACATTGTCATACCACAAGTTTGACAGAAAGCCGGGAAATAAGCAGATGCTCAAGTTTCCAAATCTGGAATGGCTTGAAAAGACAAAGGGCTTTCAAAGTGCTTTGGAAAATTATATCCTTTTACCTGGTGTCTAATTTTGAGAGCAGGAGAGGGAAGCTCGCTGCAGAAACATTCAGTAAGATAATGCTTTTGTAGTACAAATTATTTGAAAGCTGTTTCACTTTCTTTGTTTCTGGAGTGGATAATTC